GGATTTTAGAATAGGAGTAGAAATGTAGATTTCTACCCTTTTGGAGAGATTGGAGAGGAAATTTTGAGAGAATTTGTAAGGAGATGTTCTAGCATTGCATGGGTCGGCGGGATACTTTATGGGAGAGATTTTCTTCTTTCTTTCAAAGAGAAAAAATTAAGTATTGTGTTTTTCATTATCTTATGGTTTTGTAAACACTTATCTAGTGGATTTGCTTTGGTTAAATGAAGTTTCTGTTGTATTTTCTTCGTGCTTTGTGATGAGCTTCTCTTACTCTTTTTTCTTCTTTGGAAATAGTGGCATGAGAAGATTATGCCATTGTTTTCATTTTACTTTTCTTTTGTAATGAGTAGAATTCATGTTTAGGATTTTGTGATGCATGTTAGAAGCGAATTTAATTATAAATGTGATGATTTTCATTAAGACCCGAGAGGACTGTGTAATTCTCAACAAAGTAGAAACACATTCAGATTCCATGGATGGTTAAGTTCATGGGAGTTGAATGCAAATAAATAGGGAAATATACTTTGATGGGCGTAGAATTGGAGATTTTAGGGTGACAGACTAAAATCCCTAATTCGGTCCTATTGTTTGAGTACTGAAGCGGAGATGTTAGCCCTCAGGGAAGGGAAACGTGGGAGCTCCGAAGTGAGAGCTAGAATCCTCTCAGCATAGCCATGGATTCAGTAAACAAGCGTAGGATTAGTCAATATTCTTTTTGTCTAGACCAAAGGGTAAAGAATAGGATTGCTCCTATTTGGCACATACCATATTTAATGCATCTCATTCTTTTACATTATCCAATTCATTACATAAGAATAGTAGTTTTTAATATCTCAAAATTCTCCAAACTAATTCCTCCAAAAAGGGTTATCTTTAGAATTAATATTTGCATTTAGTTATAGTTACTATCATTATATTTAACACTTGCATTTAAGAGTAGTTGTTAGATAAAACATCATTTTAATCGACATTCCAAACTAAGGACTAATTGTAGTAGATTAAAATTTGACTAAGGACCTCTTACCTCGCTTCCCTGTGGGATCGATAAACGGGACTCCACTAGAGCCCTGTATTAATTGAGCGATACATATACTTGCGTTTGAAATTGTGACTTTACAAAATCATTATAAATAAATCTGGTTTCATAAATTCTTGCATATTAAAAGTTGCATCAAGTTTTTGGCGCCATTGTCGGGGATTTAAATCTTCTAGCAGCGGTATCAAATTCTTGTATTTTTAAGCATATATAAAGTCGCTGTCACCTGGCAACACGATACAGTTACAATCCTATTGGATATTACATAATGTTCAGATCATAGTTTTAAAGACGAAAAAATAAAAAAAAAATCAACAGGTAACTGAGACACCTTACAAGCAGAGTTTAACCATAAGATTAAATAGCAAGAGTACATCCAACGGAGCCTTCAAGGCAATCCCATCTAAGGGTAAACTAGTTCAGAATGGAAAACAAATGGTGAAGCCAACCAACACTTAAGAATCCATCCCAACCAAGAAGCGCATCAAGCGCAAAATTTTTGGATAAGAGTATGATTTCTTTTACTGAGTAGAGATGAGTTGAAGAAATAGACAGTGACACATGAGAGGATGTAGACTTTAGAGAAGAGTGTCAACTTCCAACTAATGAGAAAGAGACATTGATGATTCTAACCAATTCCATGAGAGAGACTCCATCTATATTAGCATTGATTGTTCTAAAATGTAGCAAATTTGAAGATTCAATACCATAAAAGAGGCATCTCTTCTTGAAGTCGTTGGATATTCTGGCCAACAGTTTCTCTCTTAGGTGATTGCTATTAAGAATGGTTAAGCATAACATGAATATTATTCCTAGGTCAGTTTCTTTAGACAATTTTATTTATTAGATGAATCCAGTCGAATATGAGCGGGAGAAACAAGTTACATATTTAAGGGCTTCAAACTTGATTCGGGAGTATCCTTCTATATGCAGTTTCAGTTCTAATTGTGCTAAAGAATGATGGTTATTTATTCTATCAAACTGTGCTTTGAAATGTTGTAGGTGTTTCAGAATTGTCGGGTAAGAGCATGAGGATATATTTTGTAGAGGAGTTGCCTCAACTTGGCAAGACAATGTGTTTGTTATGAATATGATAAGGCTCTTTAAGAAGCTTCCTACGAAGAAGAAGAAGAAAATCCTTCTATCGGGGGAGAATGATGTAGGACGTGACAAGAACATGGTAAGCAAGGGTGAAGGTGAAACTACGTTTTGTTGCATGTTGAAGCAAGATTTCCCATGATAGCGAGATTTCTGCTATTCCGTGATCTTAATGTGTGCATGAGATTTTCTAGCAGACCGGGTTTTTTTCACGATTCTGCAGTCCATGACTTTCACAGTCGATAGATTATCTATTGTCGAGGTTTTTTTTTTCCGGCAAGGTTACTTATTTTTGTGGTTCTTTCTTATTTCTCTATTTTCTAATTAGAGTTATTATTGTTAGAAGACTATATATGTTTGTATTTTGATGTTTTGGGACATCAAGCTATTAAGTTGTGTCTTGGGATACTTTGTTCTCCATTTTATACTCTTTAGATACTCTTTAGAGTGTTAGATCATTTTTTTTTTTTGCAATTGTGTTTGTGTCGTACTCGGGAACATATGGCAAAACCTCTCACCACTCATATCTCGCCAATTCGCCGTCTAACTTCCTGATTTCAGCCAAATGTTGTCCAATAGCAGATTTATCATTGCAATCCCTTCCAAACACCAACAACCACAGATACTGACATTCCCTCACTATTCCAGAACCACCATTCCGTGAAATCCGCTTCCCAAATACCATTTGAGAGCCCTAGAACGATATCAGGGCATGTCACAACCCAGCCTAGTGATTTAGAATTATCAAAGTGGAAACAAATGCTCGGATAACTAATTAATAAAAGTATTCATCCAGACAATCAAAATAGCCACTAACAAAATATTTTTTTCAATTTAACTTAAAGTAAAAAAATGTGATAAAAATAATCTTTCATTGACTTGATTGCGTCTTCTATAAAATTAACATTCACTAATTTGGTCGGTTTCTAAATGTTCAGAACATAGAACACCATGCATGCAAAGAAAAAAGAATTTTGCTTTTGATGGAGTTTATAGAAGAGGTTTTTGACCATGTACAAAGATTTCAGCTTGAGTCATAATCCCTTCATCATTTTTTCCCCAAGTCATCTTATCTATCAAATATAGTTGAATCACATACAGAGTCTTCTCATCTATCTTTGTTATGTATTCTTTGCTCATAGTTTCAAACATCTTGGTATACCTTGTATGTTCTTTTTCAAGCTCTTGCTGAATTAGAACAGCAAGCATCTTGGTTCCCAAAAGGACAAAACTCTCCAAGCAATCAAATTTCATCATGTCGAACTTCATGATCATCATATTCCTTAAAAATCTCCGTTTAGATATCAAGTTTTAACAAAGCGCACATCTAACTATATACTTCAAAAATGTCAACTCTGGAGCAAATATGTTGGAAAAAAGAAATCAAATATTAAAACTTATATGATTCAACGTTATGTCCATGAGTAGGGCGTGGATTTAGCTCGAAGATCGTTAATCGCTCAAAGATTGATTCGAATTTTGGCTCGAATCGAGATCGGATCGAAATAAATGAGCCGAGCTACGAGCCAAAATTTTGTATCGAATTTTTTTCAAGATGGCCCCAACTCGGTTTGAAATCGGATCGTCAATAGTGTATGACTGTGAATTTAGTAAATTTAGCTCGAAAATCATTAATTGCTTGAAAATTGATTTAAATTTTGGCACGAATCGAGATCGGAACGAAATAAATGAGCCAAGCTACGAGCCAAAAATTTTAGATCGATTTTTTTTAGCTGACTTAGTGCCGACCCCAATTCGGCTCAAAATCAGATCGTTAGCAGCCCCATCCATGAGAAATGAGAGAGGACGTGATACACAAAAAATAAAAAAAGCAACAAAATGGATTTATAACAAAAAGATACTCACCAAATCTTCTCAAAAGAAAAGTTCACCCTAGCTCAACAAAGAAAAAAAAGCTCCAAGTATCTCAAGACGAGTGAAAGAAAACAATTTAAGGATAAAAAAAAAATCATTTCTTTCTCCTTCTCTTCCCTCTATTATCTTAATTATTTCTCATCTCCTTCACAAAAATTGGAGATTAACATATAATTTCATACTATTAAAGTCCTATATATTAGCTCATATACCCACTAACCAGATACAAAGCTATTGAATTTTTGCAAAAGCACCTAATTCCTTTGCAAGCCTTTATAAAAGAAGCTTGAAAAATGCTTCATCATATGCATATATTTCAAGATTTATGAATTTTACAGAATATTGCATTATATAAAATTATAAATTATACTTCATGCAGATAGAACAATATGTGAAAATATTTTTGATGTGTTTGATGGCCATCAACTAGGCCTGTTTATGTTTAGTTCGTGTTTGACTCAAAAACAAATAAGCTAAACACAAAATAAACACATTTGTATTGGCCTCAAAAGAAAGCAAGTTGATCATGAATGAAACTCTAAATGCCACTCCTTTACACCCCTATTCAGTCATAAGCTCATGCACTAACATGATGCCAAGGACTTCCTAATTTCCATTTAATGAAGATTAAAAATATCATTTACATTTGTTATTTCTAAATATCAAAAAACCAAATTGTTAAAATTTACAAATACCATGGCATAATATTTTGTATTTATCAAAAAACCTAACATACTCATGAATCCTTTATTTCCAGTTTCCTTCACATCTAAAATTGCTCTTCCAATGACTATTTGATCTCCTTAAATTTAAAAGAATATAAAATATTCATACCATTACTTCTTCATCCGCCCAATCCAACAAAAGGAAATCACTTGCCACTTGGTTCTCGGTCTCCATATGCCTATTCAAATCTTCCATTACCTCATAAGCTCCCTCTGCACCAGGAGGCAAAGAACCACCAGCTGAAAATACAAGCACAGTCTTCTTCACCTCAAGCCAACTCTGCCCTGGATTCTTCCTAATCCCTTTCTCCCTAGTAATAACCCTAACCCTTGCTGATTCATCCCATTTCCCAATTGCTGCATATATATTAGAGATCAACATGCAGTTCCCAGAAGTCTCCTCTTCAAGCCCAAACATCCTTGAAGCAGTACCCTCTGCCACGGCTGTGTTCCCATGTATCCTGCAAGAGTTCAACAAAGCACCCCAAACACAAGCATTGGGTCTCATAGGCATCTTCTCTACAAGCTCGCTCGCTTCTCTTATCAGCCCAGCTCGGCCTAGAAGGTCCACCATGCATGAATAATGCTCCAAACCAGGTGAAATTCCATGCTTATTAACCATTAAATCAAACAGTTCTCGCCCCTCAGCAACTCGCCCTGCATGGCTGCAAGCAGAGAGAATTGCAACAAATGTGATCCCATCTGGCTCCATCCCACCTCTAACCATGCTTCTGAATGTACTTAGAGCTTCATTGCACAATCCATGCATCCCATGGCCATTAATCATTGAGTTCCAGGTGATCAAATCCTTGCCTTTTATTCTTTCAAAAACCAAACATCCATATTTGAGACCCCCACTCTTAGTGTACAAATTCAGCAGCCCGTTCTGTATTAAAATATTACTACCCATAAAGCTTCTTATGGAGTGAGCATGGATTTCTCTACCTGAGTCCAATGATGAGAGCTCCGCGCAAGCAGATAGAATAGTGGCCAGAGTGACTGAATTGGACTGAATGCCATCTCTCTGCATAAGCCGGAAAAGTTCCACAGATTTCTCAACCATTCCACAGAATGAAAAACCTCCTATCATAGCACTCCAGCTCACCACATTGGGCTTAGGCTCCCCTGCTTCCTGGAGCAGGTGAAATGTCTCATAAGCTTCATTGCAAAGACCAGAAGCAGCATAGCTTGAGATCAGTGCATTCCAGCACACCAAATCCTTCATTTCCACCTCAGAAAACAATTTCTCTGCATCGCTACTGTTTCCAAGCTTCCCATACATGCATAAAATTGAGTTCCTCACAAAAGAAAACCCCTCAAAACCGCTCCTTTTAGCAAAAGCATGAATCTCCTTCCCTTTCTCCAATCCATGACAGCTTCCATTGCTATCAACATAAGGGCAAACAGATAAAGCCACGGCCACCGACTCAGCGGTGGCCTCACAACCACATTCCCTCATATCATCATAGACCTCTATCACCTCATTATGCCGCTGGCACCGAGCATACGCAGATAAAAGGGATGTCCACGTAACCGAATTGGGCATCGGTCCTCTAGTTCGCATAAGATCGAACACCTTTCGCGCATGTCCCCATTCCCGGTTTCTCGAGTAACCCGAAACAAGGATGTTCCAAGTTACCACGGTCGGAACACGCATTCCGTCAAACACCTTGCGCGCAAGGTCCAATTGACAAAGTTGTCCGTAAATCAGTATCAGCTCGTTGGCGACATGTAGGTGATTACCGAAGCCCATGGTGACGGCGTGGGCATGGACGGCGGCGCAGAGGGAGGAATCGAAAAGAGAACTGCAAGCACGGAGAGCGAGGGGGAAGGTGAAGCCATCGGGAATGAGGTTGAGGGTGCGGGCGCGGCGATAGAGGGAGATGGCTTGGGAGGAGAGTGAGTGAGAGAGAAGGGAACGAAGGATGGAGTTGCAGAGGATAGAGGGAGTAGGGGAGGGGGCGGAGAGGAAGACGGAGATGGCGGGCGAGAGGAGTTTGAAGTGTGAGTAGATGGAGATGAGGCGGGCGGAGAGGAAGGGAGAGTGTTGATGGCCGGAGAGGAGGATGAGGGCATGGATTTGGTTAGCTTGGCGAGGGGTGATGCATCGACGGAGGAGGAGGTCGAGGGAGGAGGGGACGAACATGAAGCATGCATGATAGATGGTGGCATGTATGGCCCGGCCAGAGAAAAATTTGCGTACTCAGCCTTGCGACGGGAAAAATTTTAATTTTCTCTACTCATCTGTGATATAAAATAAGTTTCGCGCTTGTATTATTATATATTAAAAATTTATTAGTAGGTTACAGGTAAGTTACAGAAGGTTACAGGGAGGTTACAAAGGATTATACCGTGTATATAACTCTCTTGTACCCTCGGTATAACATCAATATCGTACATTGCGTTGCGTACATCTATCGCATGCAAATTTTTTCCCTTGCGAGTTTAATCAGAGGTGTTGACGGTTATATCCATGTTATATCCTTGTAACATCTCAATAACCTACATGTAACCTACAAATATATTAAAACAGAAGCGCGGAATTTACTAAAAGGTACAAGTAGGTTACAGGGAGGTTACAGGGTATAATGTAAATATAACCCTCAAATACCCTCTGAATAACCTCTCTGACGTACGCAGCGCTACGCACTTCTTACGTACGTAGTTTTTTCTCGTGTTCTGCGATTTCGGCTCTATTTGTACTTATTCCTTTGCCAAAACAATCAATATTTTTAGTTTCATTTATAAATGAACCGTACATTAATTAGAATTTAAAGTTTGTTGATTTGTACTAAGTTTGATTTGAGTCAAATTTAATAAATAAAATTAATATAATATTTTTATATTAAATTTTAATACTAAATACTAAAGATACATTAAATTTTATTAATTTTTAAATAATTTGAACTAGGTGTGGAAATAAAAAAAATAAATGTTTTATGTTGAATATGTAAATACATAAGAATGGAGTGGTACGTACGTGATGTTCCTCGTTTCATCCACCCATTCGATTTTCATTGTTAATATATAAAATTTTAGTACATTATTATTCCAAGTTGAATAAGAGCTTAACTCGAATATATGAGTTCAAATCGAGCTGAACACAAACAAATAATCCAAACATGAGTTGAATAAGAATAATAAATAATTCAAACGAGTCGAATACGAAAAAACTTTAGGCTCGCTCAAACTCGGTTCATTTACACTCCTAGTGGCACCTAACAAATACTAAACTTCTACAAATGAATTCCTAAGGATTGTTTTCATCCATGTAATTTTTTATATAACATATCATTTTTAATATAAAAATATATATAAAAGTTTAAATCCATAGCACTTAAAACTTTCTTATTTACAGATCCAGCATCCAAAACCCCATATTAACATATCCAACACCCAAAACTTCCTTGATACTTAAAATCTAGCACTCCGTCTCTCCTGAACTCTCTCCCATGCTCGGGAAAAACTATTCCACACGGACAGCGTATGTAGAAATACATACGTTGTCTGATATTCATGAGGGCAAATATGTATTTCGGTGGGCCCCATTCTTATTTTAAAAAAATGATAGACGGTGGAGATCGGACAGTGTATGCATTTTTGCATACGCTGTCCCTATGGAATAATTTATGCTCAGAATACATGATTTATTCAGGGCTCACTGTCTCAACTCATCTTCCTTTACACCAACATCTAATATGTGAGCATGTACTCATCTGTTGTCAGACAAAATCAGTAAACTCAATTACTCTGGATATTGAAATTATTTATGTTTTTGATTGTATTGCCGGATTTCTCGTTCTTACAAAGGGTTTATCACCGCATCTTTTCTACCTTTGTAACTCAAGTAAGAACGATTTTCTTGAATGTTTTAGAAGAACTGAAGTTATAGCTGATAGATATGTTGGACAGTTCATCATAAATCCTATACTTGCCTACATCTTTGGCACAAAAGAATACCCATTCAAAAGAGATGAATGTGGAAAAGATCCAGAAGGACACACTAAAATTTGGCATAAAAATTCAAAACACTTCTCATCATTAGATTATCCAAGTGTATCTAACTTTTATGGTGCAACGATCGACAAGGAAAATGCCTGATCAAAATTTTCGCACTGAAAGCATGTAGCATCAATTCCAGCATTGTGCTTGTTTGATCGAGCCATGCCTAGTCGGAATACACCCCTCCCTGAATATTTGATAGTGTTCCGAACATCGAAACCACCACCCCTAATCGGTCGAGCTTCGATGAAAACACCTCGGGCTACAAAATTGTTTGGTTTTGATGTCTCTGGAGCCTCAAGACCATTCAGTCGGTTCTCTAATGGGAGCACCTCAATCAACTATTAGGATGACAGGATGTCCAGTGCTTTCCCTCCTAAGCTAATTAGTAGGACTAGCTCCTGATATTGGAAAAAAGCCACCTCAAATATGAGTAAGGCAACCTTGCTTAAGCTATCATGAATCAAATCAAATTTTGGAACGGGGGTAAAACTACCTTAAATGAGGGTAAGACAAATGACGAACCGATTGTGAGGCCCCCTTTAATAGGAGAAAGGCTTTTATTCCAAATTGAATTGATTCATTTTCCTCTTAGGATTAGATGTGAGACCACCTTAAAAGGTGTAGGGCTCTCCCATCTAAGGTAACGGTTCTAAGCAAATCAAATCAAAATTGAAACCCGAGGATAGCGAGTAAGCCACCCTAAATGGGAGAAAGACACCTTTTTCCTCAAAACAATTCCAAGGATAAATAGGAAGCCACCCTAAATGGGAGTAAGGCACCATTTTTTAAAAATAATTTTGGGATAAGAGTAAAACCACACTAAATGGGTAAGGTTCTTGATCCCTTAAATGACCATTCAAATTGAAAAACAAGCCACATAAATAGAATAAGACATTCCTCTTCATGTTGTTAATAGATGACTTGTATCACATTAGATGATCGAGCCTTCTCAATTGACCCCGCTGTCAGGTCACTAGTCAATTGCAATTTATGTCGGGCCACCTCAAGCTTAAAATAGCCACCCGACTAAACTATGGGTGCTTCACTGGACGAGAGCCATAGTTAACTCTTGGTTGATTTATTATGAGGAAGCATAATGGATGACTCAGATCACATGAGAAGATTGGGCTTTCTTCAATCTAATTACCATGTTTTTCCCTTAGGTTAGATATGAGCCCCCCTTAAACAGGAGCAAGACATTCTACCCTAATGTAGCAAGCATGTTAGATCAAATTGGAGGTTTGGGAGTAAGCCACCGTAAATTGGAGTAAGACAACATTTCCTCAAAACAATTCAAAGGATTGGGAGTAAGCCACCCTAAACAAGAATAAGGCACTCAATCCTTAAAACAACTTGGGTTTGGAAGTAAGCCATTGTAAACCGAAATAAGGCACCCTTTTCATAAACAATTCATGGGTTTGGGAGTAAGCCACCATAGTTTGGAGTAAGGCACCCTTTCTCTAAACAAAACTTGACGTTCGGAAGTAAGCCCCCTAAATGGGATCAAGGCATCTATTCCTCAAACTAGCTCTTAAGATTGGAAACAAGCCCCCTAAAAAGGAACAAGGCCTCCTAATATCAATCATGAGTAAATAAAGAGTTTCCTTCTTCGCAATACTGCAAAGAAGGAAATACTATATTGGCATGAAATCCTTCCTTTTAGCTGAATATTTAGATTAGACATATGTATTAATTAAGTTACATAGAATAGTTTATACAGAATATTATGTACCTAAAATAGATTGTACAAATGATTATTTATTGTAATGAAAGCAAAGGAAAAGACATTTAGCCTATTTGTTCAAAATTTGATATGGTATCAGAGCTTGAATCGGTCTGAATTCTTGTTGTTATTCTTGACTTTTGTTATCTTCGTCGGAAATAACGAAGGGAATCTTCGTCGGCATCTTCGTCTGCTTCCTCGCTAGGAGTGCTCGTTCTTGTCTTTATTTAAGTTTAGCAGCATTTTCTTTCACCTTCGTCCAAGTTCAAGGAAATCCGCTGTCAAACCGCGATCCGCTTTGCCGCGATCGTATTTGTCGCGATTTGTCTGCTCATCCGCCGATTTTGAGATCGGCTCGATCCCATCTCCGTCGATTCCGCGATCCCGTATTCTGGTATTAGAACATTTCTTGCAGCAATTCTAACTAATATTACTGTTCCTACCTCTTACTTTCAGGCTGCTAAATAGGCTTGCTGGGTCAAAGCCATGCAAGAGGAACTTCAGACACTTCAAGACAATCACACTTGGGATATTGTTTCATGTCCTACTAATATTAAACCCATTGGTTGTAAATGAGTTTACTCTCTTAAATTTTGATCTGATGGCTCTCTTGACAAATATAAGGCAAGATTGGTAGCTCTTGACAATCGACCAAAATATGAGATTAATTATGAAGAAACATTTGCACCTGTGACTAAGGTGACAACTGTATGACTGGCATTATCTATTGCGGCATCTAAAAGCTGGTTCTTAAAGCAGATGGATGTAATGTTAAGAATGCATTATTACATGGGGATCTCAAAGAAGATGTCTATATAACTCCTCCTCCAAGCCTGTTTTTTCCAAGCCTGTTTTTTACACCTTCACATGATGTTTGTAAGCTCAAACGATCACTATACAGTTTAAAACAGACTCCACGGGTCTGGTTTGAAAAGTTTTGCAATACCCTTCTTAGCTCTCTTTTATTCAAATTCAATATGATTCTTCGTTTTTTTTTTTGCAAAACTGACAAGGGAAGTGTTTTGTTATTAGTCTATGTTGATGATATTATCATCACGGGATCTGAAAATCAATTGTTGTCTCAGCTACAGAAGCATCTTCAAGGTTCTTTTCATATGAAAGATTTAAGATTATTAACTTATTTCTTAGGACTTGAGGTTCACTCTTCTCCCACTGGTATTTTCCTTCATCAGCACTACTATACAAAGGGACTCATTGTTTTGGCTGGTCTTCAAGATGGTCGCTCTGCTGACACTCCTTTGGAAGTAAATGTCAAATATCAATAGAATGGTGGTGAATTCCTATCTGAATCATCTCTATATCGACAACTTGTTGAGAGTCTCAATTATTTGACTATTACATGTCTTGATATTTCATTTGTTGTACAACAAGTTAGTTAATTTACGCAAGCCCCTACACATCTTCATTTAGTTGCAGTTCGATGTATTGTTCGATATTTGAAAGGTACTCCTCATCGTGGTTTGTTCTTTTCGGCGAAGTCTCCTATAGTGATGTTGATTGGGCTGGTTGTTCTGATACACGCCGATCTATTACTGGATGGTGTGTGTTTCTCGACAACTCTTTAATCTCTTGGAAGAGCAAGAAACAAGATCGAGTGTCTAAGTCATCTACTGAATCAGAATATCACGCTATGTCTTCGGCTTGTTCTGAGATCATTTGGCTTCGGAGTGTGCTGGCTGAGCTTGGTTTTCCCCAGCTTGAGTCTACTTATCTTCATGCAGATAATATGAGCGTTATCTTGATTGCTGCTAATCCTGTCTTTCATGAGCGCACTAAACACATTGAAGTGGACTGTAATTCCATTCGAGAAGCATATGAGGATGGTGTTATATCTCTTCCTCATGTCACCTCTGATCTTCAAACGACTGATATATTTATTAAGGCTCTTTCTCGACAGCATCATCAGTTTATTGTTGGCAAATTGATGTTTCTTGATAAGACAACATCAATTTGAGGGGGGATATCAATCATGAGTAAATGAAGAGTTTCCTTCTTTGCAATACTACAAAGAAAGAAATATTATATTGGCATGAAATCTTTCCTTTTAGTTGAATATTTAGATTAGACATATGTATTAATTAAGTTACCTAGAATAGTTTATGCAGAATATTATGTACCTAAAATAGGTTGTACAAACGATTATTTATTGGAATGAAAGCAAAGGAAAAGGCATTCAGCCTATCTGTTCAAAATTTGATACCTAACTTAAACTAGTTAAGAAAAATATGAGATTTGGAAGTAATGATCCCTAAATGGGATCAAGGCATCTTTTCCTCAAATTAGCTCTTAAGATTGAAAACAGGGCCCCCTAAAAAGGATATATATATATATATATATATATAGACACACACACATACATACATATGAGATTTGGAAGTAAGCCCCATTAAATGGGAACAAGGCCTTCTTTCCTCAACAAATCTTTAAGTTGGTGGGGAGACCCCTTTTTGACATGAACAAGTTGAAGTTAATGATACAGTCAACTCTGGTTGGATCAAAAATTGAGTTTCTTCCAACAAGCGCACTGCATCTCAACGACGCATCACATTTGTTTGGGTCCTTTGTCGGCATTAGTTTTTAATGTCACGTATAATGGATGTCTATTTCAACAACTCGAAACTGTGCCCAGCTTCATGCTATCCAAGACATCCAATTAAATGTCTTGTTACGTGCCTCGGCCACAAAATTAAGGTTGGTACTGACTTGACCATATTCGGGAAATTCACTGTAAGGTGGTGTTAACCTTGACACTAGATTTGTTTTACGTCTATTCTAATGTTGAGAGACCCAACTCCATCAATCCGGACTCTTCTGAGACCGATTTTACCTCCCATTGGGGTCTGTAATGCCTGTCGGTACTAAAAAACCCTAGATTGAACGCCTGTCGATACCAAGCTATAGTAGATTATTTCTGATTAGATCGAGTCCCGTGAGTTTTTTCACTTTTCGAATTTTCTACATAAAAAAATTATGGTGTCTTTACTTATCATTTTTATTTTATGAGTGTGTAATAGATTCTTGTGCAATGCAAAAATAATAATTCATTACTCTACCATCACGAAATCTCTAACAATAAGTCACGGAACCATCCCATACAAATTACATGAAGTTGGTGGAGCCACCAACAATTGATTTGAGAGTCATTCGAGATTGTGTGTATCATTGGTGGTGGTCTAGACTGTTTGCTTACAATATTGCCCATTAATAACTTTGCTAGCTCTTTAAAAGTAGTCTATTAGCAACATTGTATATGACTCATACATCACAAATAACTCTATTTTTGCCTTCATTTGCCCTCAAATTCTAAAAAAAAGAGTTGAGCTTTTATTTTCAGAGGCATTTACATACATACCATCCAATACTTATGTATTTACATTTCTAACGCATAAACTTTACTTTTTTACATTATACAACCCAAATCATTCATATCACGTAAAAAATACACCAAAATTTTTTTTAAAAAAAAGTGATACATATTTTCATGCATAAACATGGTGACATGTTTGTAAAAATTGAAGTTCGGATGTTTTATACCTAAAAACATGGGAGTTGACTGGTTTGTATGTACATCATTTTTTTTTTTTTATTATTAATATTATTTTATTTTTTTGCATGTGCATATAGACGAGTCCAGGAGTCGAATGGATCCGGACTTAGGTTGTTGGATCGGATTGAAGGCCGAGCCAAGTAAAGGTTTTTTTGAGCATCTCTCATTTTTTAAATAGTTACATTTTACAATATTTAATGTTGGGGCATTTATATACATATCACATAATACTTATATATTTATACATCTAATACCTAAACTTTCTTGTTTGCATGCATGACACAAATAAAAATAATCATAATTATTAAGTTTTTAAAAATAAAATACGAATTTTCATGCATAAATTTTTTAGCACAACAGTGCCGTAGACATAAATATCATAATATAGGTTTGAGATCTGCAAATACATAAGAATTATGGAATATGTATGTAAATTTTCCTTCTAAATTTTATGAAATTGTTAAGCTTACTTTGTGCACTCTCCATTCCTTATTCATATTGTATCACTATCTTAAAAAAAACATAGATGAGTAGGGCTGTCAAAATGGCTCGTGGTTCGCAAATAGCTCGTGTTCAGCCCGTTCGCTAAGTTAATGAGCCGAACACAAACAAAGATTTGTACGTTTGTGTTCGGCTCGAAATACTACTCATCAATTAACCATGGTAGGCTTTCAATCATGTAAATGAGATCCTGATCAAGAGGGAAACCCTTGGGTAATGTTTATCACTGTTTAATCTAGTTCCTTGGAATATATTTTGAAATCGAAATCGAGAGAGCACACTTTTGATTAGGACTAACAATATATGCCCTCATGTAAGTGCAGTGTTGTGACGGCTCTCTTGTGCGATAGAGAAATGATCAACTCTTCTGCAGAAATTGATTTGATTTAGGGGAATGATAATTATTACATTCATAATCATCGCAGGGAGACAATGAAGTATGGTCTATCCAATTAGCTAAGGTTGTTGAAGTAATTGGACTCAGACATCTTCTTCATTACCAATAGGTTACTTCATTTAAAGGAACTTCATAAATTGAGAGTAGAAGCTAATTGAGTAGCAAATAACAACTTAAAAAGATAGACAATTTTATGCTCTATCAAATGCGTCTAGAACTGAAGCAAGAATGCATGTCATTAGAAAACATATAAACTTAGATCGTAATCATAATATGATGGTGTAGTAGTTTTCAAGCAAACCACCAAAGCATAAGGCATATGTTACATCATTAAAAGCTTTGTGATAGTGTACAGTGCTTTTCAAGCTAGCCATCAAATCAAAAGGAATATTTTACATCTTTACAAGTGCAAAACTTTGAGCTAGGTTTGTTTGATAGCATTTGATGCAACATTAATACCTTTGCTTAAATTTGAATTTGGTGCCCTAAGTTGGCGCATAAAAATTTTATACAATTTTTTTTAGGGAATTTGGGGATATCTTTTATTTTTTTTTTCTTTTGGAGGGAAATAAATAGTGGACATATTTGTAGAAGGTATTTCTTTTGGGGGAATTAGGGATTGGATAGGAGCACTTAGAGGTAGACAAACTTGGCATCTTTAAAATTTAGAATAAAAGTTGGGAAGGAAACCCTAGAAGTTAATTAATAGATGCATTGAAAGTCCCTTTAACTGAGATTTGATATCAACTAGACCATCGAAAAAAATTCGATAGGCACTTTTAGAGGAGCATTTTATTATTGATAGATAAAAGGCTTCGACTTATTTAATCATGACCGACACCATGATTAAAGGCCATCCAATCTCTTTTAACCCTAACATTAGTTTTTTTATCTATTAGGAAATTTTCTTTACCCATATAACCAGAGATTCTTCTCATCAAACAGTGGTCTAGGGCCTTTAGGCACCCATATCTGGAAGAAAGAAGCTTGTTTTTCCAACAAACAACTGCTTTTAGAGTTTATCTAGCAGTCGCAGAGACTAACAGACAATCTTTAACAGGAATTCTACCCAAAAGAGAACCCTAGAAAATGATAAAATGATGCCCAACAATGAAGTTCAAATCAGTACATCGAGATAAAGTTTAGGTAGGCGAGAATAAATACATCAGAAATTACCTTAAAAGGGAAATTTACATACATACCACACAATTCTTATGTATTTACATATCTAACACCTAAATATTCATATTTACAAGTGAACCACTCAAATCTTTAACATTACATCAAAAATACTACTATCACTACCTTTTTAAAAGTGCATAGGACCTTTCCATGCATAAGGCCAATCCATGCGTAGGAATATAACAACAATATGTTATAAGTTTAAATATCAAACTTCAGGTGTTAGACATGTAAATACATAAGAATTGTTGTATGTACGTAGATTTCCGTTTTTTAAAATGTATTTTTAAATGTTGATGGATCATCGCAATATATGAGATGCGCTATGCTAACTTTACCTTTCATTGTGGAGGCAAAATTAGCCTTCCTGAGTATGAGAATCAGGAAGACAGGAGATGAGATTTACACTTAATGAGATGGAGAACCTGAAAGGTAAGACCCTAGATTGCTAAATACAGAATACGAATGCAGTTAATTTAGAGATTTGTTTCAAGTAATTTGACGAGGTTCGAGAAAATCTGAAGGTAAAACTCATTGCCAGATCAATTAAGCAGAACAAACGGTCTAATTTTTTACTGTTAATACCATTCTTAAAAACTCATATTGCAAAACTGGTAAAAGATTTGCAACGTAGAGACGTAGAAATATATTTTGATTATTTAAAAATGAGTAATACAAACATCAACTATTAGTTTTGTAAGTGAAGTTTACTTGGCTTATTGAGTGGTTCTTTCATCTTGTAAGTTTCTTTATTAACAGGAGTACCTATTCATTCTATTTGGGTGAACTCCAAAGCGTTTCCATCTGGATCACGGGTAAAAATAGCGGGCCTTCCAGACTTACTGAAGGTATATTTGATTCCTGAACCAAAAAAAAAAAATATAACTCCTTCAGTCAGCTGATTTTTAATAATTGAAAATTGAAACTGTAAAACAAATCTCGATTGATCAGTTCCTCCATAGAAAGAAAAATAATAAACAATTGAAACACTTGTCAAGTAATTTAAATCAAATAAAGCTTAATTCAAATGGTTATAGGACCTATTTGTAAGCAAATTAAAAACACAAGGTCTAACTGCAAAACTAATGCTTCTTTCCAAAAATAAAAATTTAAAATTAAAATTAAAAAAATAAAATAAAAAGGAAAAAAATAAATAATGAAAAGATAAAATAAAAATAAAAATGCATCTTTTTGTAGAGATCCAAAAAGATGGATACGTAATTTTTTTTTTTAGAATGTCTCATGGACCAGGAAAAATGGAGGGATAATTCAGAGGATACGAAAAAATTCAACGAGGATATTCTGATAAAATTTTGGTTTTTAAACAGTTAACTTTGCTTTAAGATGAGTGTAATACAAGAGTTAATTGATATTCATGTGTTCCACTAATCACAAAACAAAATTGAATGTTTTAGATGCTAATTGTTTGCAAGTATTTAATGAATATGTAAATTGAACACATTGCATTTTGATTTTTTAGGTTGTTTCTTGTAAAATAAATTTGTTGAATCCACTTTTAGTGTTTGATTGGTTCTAAAATAAACTAATGAAATTCACTAGGCAAATAGAGGATGATGATCATGGACAAGGAAGATGATAGAGATGACACAAGATCACAATTAGGGTTGTAATCAAGTTGAGCCAAGCCGAGCCGAGCATGTCATGGTTTGGACATGGCTTGATTGAATCATAAGTTGGTCATGTTCGATTTGAGCTTGAGTCGAGCTTTGATATAAGTGTTCATAATTTGCTTGCTTAATTTTTTTTTATGTTCATATTTGATTTGTACTTGTTTATATTAATTGAATAAACTAAAATTTTGAATGAGTACAAATTTTTATATAAAATTACAAATTTGAATTCTACTAAAATTTTTATATAAAGCTAAGAAATTCAAATATTTACTTATTTTTTATATAAAAATAATAATAAATGATTTTATAAATCTAAAGATATAAACAATTGAATAAAATTTAAATTAATATCATCTAGTTTATACTACATAAAAAAAGATAATATATAAGTTATAAGTAAGCTTTTTGCAATCAAATAACATTAATAAGTACTAACAAATTACTTTATTGAAATAAAAAAAAGAAGAAATTGCATTAAATATCTAATTAAATAAGCTCTAGTCAATTAAATATTATTTAAATAATATAGCATAAAAGTATAATGCATTTAACAAGTTGCTTACTGAACAATAACTGAGCTTATTCTTGTTCGTGAACATCAACAAACGAGCTGGACTATGTTCAGATTTGGTTCATTTAACTTCATGTTTTAAAAAAATGTCCAAAATTGTTTGTTTACTAATTTGAGCAAACATGATGCAGTATTAATTGAGCCGAGTTCGAGTTGTTCATCAAGTGCATTGGTTCATTTACGAAAAAGGGTTCGCATAGGCACCAAATAAGAAGGAATGATGACATGGAATCCTAATACAAAGTTGAGATGTGTATTGGAATCTTTGAGGGAGAACAAGATTTGTGGGTCAAGGAGATGTGTTGGAGGTAGATAGGATGTGATCATTGATAAAGAAAGACAGCATAAGAAAGCATAATATGTATGATGAGAAAATTTATAGAATAAGAGATCATGAGATCATAAGAAACAATTGGCGAAGATGGTGACAGAAGAGTAGTAGCGTGAGCAATTCATGTCATAAGAACAAGTCATGTTAGCATCCAAGAGTTGTGGGTGGGTTGTGAATAAGAAAGGATTGGATCTCCATACAACTCCTAAGGTCAAATTCGCATAAGGAGAAAATATAGCTTAGTGAGATGAGTTTGATGCATAACCAACTTGTTAAGACATATAGCTCTTATTTAATTCATTTTAGGCATGGACAAATATTAAAATTAGGAATAATAAATATTTATTAATTAGCCAAATTAAGACCTAATCAAGCACATAAAGTTCAATTTATGCCAACCTTGATGAAAACAATGAAATAATAGCTCTCTCTCTCTCTCTACATACATACAAAAATTAAAATAGAGAAAGCCCAAAACAATGCTCTGACTGTCCAAAAGTGACTAATTTAGTTTGAACTTTCAAAGTGCGCTCCACCGTAGCCCTAAACTATTGAAAATTGATCCAATTGGTCCCTCAACTGAAGTTCATGCTTAAGACTATCACCAACTGATAACTTTGTGGGTATCTTAAGAATAAGAAATTAAAATGAAATATTATTTTTATTATTACTCCCTAACAAGTGGTTCAAGAGCCAATGGTTCATTTGAGAGTGAGTGGCTTATTCAATTTATGGCTCCCATGGATCATGGTCGAACAAGGTTCAAAACAACACTCCTATAAACAGGGTTGAGTATGCTCTTGATGCATGATACATGATGATGTTAAATAACATTTGTTCTAAGAGAACTAATGTTCAATATATACAGTTCTCACATTAGGAGAGTAGCAAAGCAAGTGAGAATATTAGATACTATCTCACATTGGATAGTTAAAAAATACATTGGTATAAAAAAACGAAGTAGTTACACCCCACCCCTTGGATGAATCTTATATATTAAAGATAAATTCAACAGTTATCTTATAAACCCCAACTTTGATTCATATTCAATCCTCATAACACGGAATAATCTCATGCGGGACTTACTCTCTGAACAAACTCTTAGTGTGCAAGCTTTTAAAACCAGCTTTTCCCCCAAACTATGTTTCCACTTCGTTTGGTTTGCTCGTTTGATGAAACTGGTCCGGAACGGGGTTTTGGGTTACTGTAGAAACTCAAACATGGATTCAACCCCGCGTTCAGAGTTCGCGAATAAAAAAACAACCCCCGTGGAGCTTCGTTTCGCTATTATTCCCTCGCCCCTAACTCATCTCTCTCACGTGCCCTCGACATTCCCGCAGGATGTCTCCCCCACTTTTACTTTTTGAGTGATAGAAGTGGATTGTTGTCCTTGATTTGCAAATCTGTTCATGTTTCTTATTCCTTGAGAATCTGAATCATTGTAGGTTGAACGCAGTGTTGATCTTTTCTAAATACATATTAAACTTGCAGGTTTTTAACTTAGATTTTATGTGATTGGAAAGATTTGGGTGGTAAAAGTGTAAAAAGTAAAGTTTAGGTGTTAGATATGTAAATACATAGGAATTGGGTGTTATGTATGTAAATACCCTTCTTATTTGGTTGACTAGAATGAAGTCACACTGTATATGGTTGTCCTTTATTTCTTTTAAGCAATCCACTAGTCCCAAAACTGGCAATGAATTGCTTGATATATCTGAAGGAGATGAGGGATTCTTTTATTTTTATTTTAAAGGTCAAATCTATTTTAAGACATGTATTTAAATTTTCCTTTGATGCAGAATTGTTATATATAACTTCTTCCTTCTGATTATATGAATGACAGGTTGTACAAAGTGCTAAGAAATTTCAATTTGGTGGAATTGAACTAGAGCTAGAAGAGAAGCTAGATGTTATGTTTGGTGGGGTTGTTGAGACTGGTGAACATTATTGGACTATTCAAGGTTCAAAAGAGCCTAGAGATAGCCCGATTGATCCTATTGAGATATCATTTGGTACTAAAAAAATTGATCCTGCATACTTAAGACGCCAAATATTCGAGCTAGTAGCAGCATGCACGAACTTATCATCTGACTCCACTAATGCACAACAATTTTCAACTATTCCTGATGTAATAAAAATACTTGAACAGATACCAAAAGTTTTTTAAGACATGCCCTTATATCCGTACTCACTGAAGTTATAATTGAAGATCCAGTGAAGATGGATGTTTTAGCATCCATGACACCTGAACGGAGGGTCCATTGCTAACTGCCTCTTCTATGAAAATTGCAATGTTTGATTACTATTCTCTATTTGTGTTCTGTGTGAAGGACATTTTTTTTTGCGGTTGAACAATTGGACTTATTTTATTTTCATGTTATGATCTATTTTTGATAGAACTATTATTATTGATGTTAGAAAATGTGGAGAGTGATCTAATCTGGTTTAAGTTGTTGTTATATTTTACTGTATTATTTTTCCAACTATGAATCCCACTGAGATAAGACATAGAGTTGCATGAAAATTATTACAACTGTTGTATGTGCACTCACTGCGTACTATGAATCATCCATCTCTCGCATGCCATGTATGACGTCAACATTTACCGGGGACAAATGGTTCAATGAACTTCTTGGGGGTAGGGGGGCACCCTAGCAGGTTCCATAACATGTTTCGTATGAGCCAAGTATTTTTATTGATCTGTTGGATGAACTTTGTAATTAGTTATACTCAAATGATTGCTGATGATATCCTTCTCGTGGATAAGACGAGAGAATAAGCCTAGGAAAAACTTGAATCATGAAGGTCTACATTGGAGTCTAAAGGCCTTCAATCGAGTATAACTAAAACTGAATACATGGAATATAATTTGGAATATACATGGAATATAATTTTAGTAGTAGTAGCTCTAATGACATAAGTGTAACTTTAGGTGATCAAATTATTCAAAGGTATGAACGATTTAGATATCTCAGGTTTGTTGTTCAAAGCGATGGGGATGTCTATAGTAGAATTCAAGTTGGTTGGTTGAAATGGAGAAATACTTCGGGCCTCTTGTGTGATAGAAAAGGGTCGCTTAAATTGAAAGAAAAATTTTATAAGATGGTGGTGAGACTTGCAATGCTCTACGACGCTGAAAGTTATCCTTTAAAAGAGAAGCATACTACTAAGTTAAGTGTTGCCGAGATGCGAATGATTAGGTGGATGAGTGGCTTTATACTTAGAGACAAAATGTGAAATGAATATATCCGTGATAGAGTTAGTGTAGCTCCAGTGACGGATAAAATTAGAGAGAGTCGTCTTACATGGTTTGGTCATATTAAATGTCGACCATCTGATAATTCGATTAGAACATTAGATGTTTTAGATTCGACTTAAGTTAAGAAAGGCTTAGGTAAACCTAAGAAGGCTTGGGCTTATTGAATAAAAAATGTTCTTAATTTATTAGAACTAAATGAAAACATGACTCTAAATAGGATAATGGAGCAAAAGGATTCATGTAGTTGACCCAATGCAGTAGGATTAAGGCTTTGTTGTTGTTGTTGAATGAAACCGCTCAATAGTCATGATCTCATTGGCTCTTCTAGAATGACTTCAAAAGAGGTATTAGCGATAACACTTTACATTTCATCACAAAATGAATCGATAAGGTCAGCATATGAGAGATTTCAGCACTCATCTGAAACCATAAGTATATATTTTTCTATTGATTTAAATGCATTGGTAAGTATGCCTTCTGGAGTTATCAAGCCTGAAGATCCAACTTTCCCAAATATTCCTACAGAAATTTCTTGCGATCATAAATATATGTCATACTTCAAGGTATATGGAGATTTTTTTTTTCATCAAAAATTAAAAAATCTTCAAATTTGAAATTATTACTGTTTCATATAGGACTATATTGGTGTCATTAATGGCACACATGTTCATGTACATATGCTAAATATTAAAAAGATCGCATATATTGGGCGTTGTGGTTCACCTACACATAACAAAATGACAGTATGCGACTACAATATGTATTTTACTTTTGTCATGACAAGTTGAGAAGTTAGTGCTCATGATATTAGAATTTTCAAATTCGCAACACAATTATGTATGCATGACTTCCCCCTGCCACCTCTAGGTTGGATAACTCGCTACTACCTTACAAACCTTCACAACCCTATCCCTTAAATGCACATCACTATTTCAATATCCATATACTTCTTATTTTACTTACCAAGCTTAGTTTTCTTGGAAATTTATGTATGTATTTTCATATGACGCATCCAAACTTGCATAGATAAATTGATCCACAATAATGATGGATAAATTGATGATGATGTGGCATCTTTGGTGCCAAATGTATTTTGATGCATTTATTCTACAAGAGATAGGCATTCAATCCACCTTAACTATTTACTTGATACTTGAAGTTTTTTTGTGGTCATTCTACCCACAATAGTGATGGATAAAATTAAGTATTCTTTTGAAGCATTGTTTTCTAAAGCTGTGTAAACATTTTGGGTGTTTTGTATCAATTGTTTTCTATGTTTTTTCGGACTTGTTGATTTGTTCAGATTTCTGCTGATTTTTCCCTTTTGTCTGGGTTGTCGGTTGAGCTATGATGTTCTCTAGTCATTGCATTAAAATTCAACTATACTTGATGTTTTTTGTACTAAAATATTTACAATATTCGGAAGGTATTTTAATGTCTTCTTCATCAGGTATGTATTGAGCTCAATTTCTTTATTGTTGTTGTCTTGTTTTCAGTAGTATTTTATTTCTTGCTTTTTTGGTGGCTATCTTGGATTTTTTTATGTATTTGTGTATTGGTTTCTATTTTGAGTTTCTTTGGACTCCAAAGAGCTCTTATGGATGGCCTTCTTTTTATGCATTTATGCATACACAAATTTGTTCTTAAGGGTATCTGGCAACCAAGTTCCCATGCATTAAGGTCTACTGCTTTTTTGTATATGCAATAAAATTCATTATTTTTGTGCTAATCATTATTGTATAGGATTGTACTATCGAAAATGAGCTCAAATAATTCAACAAGCGCTAAAAGGACCAAACATCGACCATTTTTCTGCGATTGCAATCTATTATGCATCATTTTCACCGCTAAAAAATGAGACAATGCAGGATGAAAATTTTACAGATGCTCAAAGAATTTAACATATAGAGATTGTAAATTTTTTCAGTGGGTTGATGAACCGAGAGATGCACCACAGGAGCGAGCAGGCTAAAGGATACATGCAATTGATGATACTGTGAAAAATGATGTTTGAGACATGAATTTCCTTGTAAAGACTTTACTTATGTTCGATTTCGTGATTGTAGCATTGCTTTCATTGTTGTTAGCATTGTATCTGATTTGATTATGTACATGTATTTTGGAGAACAAATTATAGTGCATTAAATTTTTATTTTGTAAGCAAACTTATTTTTTTTTTACCATTTGATCTATCACAAATTCTTGTGATTGTGTTGTTGTTGGAAGACATAATTTGATGATTTCATATAATTTAGTTAATGCCCACCTTTATTTGCTCAATAATGTTATTGTGAGTGAAAATAATATTATAAATTGTCAGATGATTTATTTCGCAGGAAACTTTTTCAGAACAGTGTTTTCTAAACAGTTTAAATTGAACTGTGTATATATACTTAAGAGCATTGCAGTCATTATATCAACAGACAACACTTACAAAACTGTGTTTTTCAAACAGACCAACTTCTTCTGAAACACCAGCTTCTGAACAACAGATTTTCAACAACAGCTTCTGAAACCTGCTTTTCTACAGCTACGGTCAAAATAAACGCACCCTTAATCAAAAAACCTACTAGGATTCTTCAAATCACGACGAGTGTGTGTGTGTGTGTGTGTGAGAGAGAGAGAGAGAGAGAGAGAGAGAGAGAGAGAGAGAGAGAGAGAGAGAGAGAGAGAGAGAGAGAGAGAGAGAGAGAGAGAGAGAGAGAGAGAGAGAGAGAGAGAGAGAGAGAGAGAGAGAGAGAGAGAGAGAGAGAGAGAGAGAGAGACATAAGAAGCCTACTTGGATTGTCGACTGTTTGGTCTAGCTCAATGTGGCCAATCCCTCGGTCCACAATGAATCATGCTTAACCTTTTTGAAATTTTCATGATTTCATCCGTAAATCATTACTATTTTAGCAATTTTTATCCCGAAATTGTGGCATTTAATTCCCTGCTCAACAAAAATATAAGTTAAATAAGATATTTTTTTATTAGACATTATCTTCCAATGCATTTACCATGGTAAAAGGAAGATCAAAAAATTCATAATGGTTGTATTATTTCATTTTGAGTGACTATCTAGAAGATTGCCTGTGGAGTGTGAGCTCTAACTTCTATTTTATCTGTCGTTTTATTAGAATGCATCTATTGTTGTAGTCCACAAACCATTTGGGATGCATGCTAGTTAATTGTACTGAATCAATCTCTACACTAACAAAAATAATGAATTAGGTGTTTTTGAGCTAAGATAATGTAAATAAATTGCAAGGTGATAATTGTGAAGGTGCAATAGAAAATTTTCACACTTACCTACTTTATCAATTTTTTTCTTAGAGCTTGGAAACATTTATAATTGCAATACATTAATGATGATCTCGACCGGCATGCTAAGGGTGTCTGATCAAATGCTCAAATTTTGGAAGCTCCATCAAATGATTCATTTCATCATCAACCCAAATTCAATCCTCATAACACAAAATAATCTGATGGAGGACTTACCCTTTGAATAAACTCTTAATCCCCTACTAGGATTCCTCAAATCAAGTGTGTGTGTGTGTGTGTGTGTGTGTGTGTGAGAGAGAGAGAGAGAGAGAGAGAGAGAGAGAGAGAGAGAGAGAGAGAGAGAGAGAGAGAGAGAGAGAGAGATTAGAAGCCTATTTCGATGGCCGAGTAAGTTTGGTCTAGCTCAATGTGACCAATCCCCCGGCCACGATGTTGAGTGCTTAACCTTTTTGAAATTTCCATGATTTGATCCCTAAATCATTACTATTTTAATAATATTTGATCACTAAATTGTGGCCTTTAATTCCATTATCAACAAAAATCTAAAGTAAATATGAAATCGTGTTAGTAGACATTATCCTCCAATACATCTACCATGGTACAAGTAAGACCAAGAAGTTAATAATATGAAAGCTATTTCATTTTGAGCAACTATACAGAAGATTGCCTGTGGAATGTAAGCTCTAATTTTATTATATCGGTTGTTTCATTAGAAATGGCATATTTTTCTGTAGTCTGAAAATCATACATGCTAGTTAATTATACTGAATCAATCTCTACATTAACAAAAATAAAGAAGTAGGTGTTTTTAAGCTAAGATATTGACAATAAATTGCAAGGTGATAATTGTGAAGGTGCAATAGAAAATTGTCACACTTACCTGTTTTATCAAATTTTTCTTTGAGCTTGCAAACATTTCTAATTGCAATACATGAATGGCGATCTCGGCCACCATGCTCAGGGCGTCCGGTCAAAGGATCAGGATTTGGAAGCTCCATCAAATGAATCATTTCATCACCAATCCACAACCAAGCTCCTCTAAATGGAAGCTTACCATGCGGCCTTGCATCATTAATTTTAAGTCCTATCACATATAAAGTCTTAATGCTCCCTTATTTGCAAAATAATGAGCTCATATAACTTGTTACAGAAGAAATATGTGCATACCAAGAATATTTTGGTAGAAATCAAGGGATTTTTCAAGGTTCTCGCATAGAATCCCAACATGATGAATGCTGAGAAAACCGACATCTGCATCAAATGTCAGAAAAATCCTTCAAAAAAGATATGAACTAGATGATTTATAGAAATTATAGGTAATCAATTTCTAACCCACATGAAATAATCATGAACGCAACTCTCAAGATCTAATCATATATTTCTAATTTATATGAAATACAATGTTATGGTTAATACCTGTCATGTTGATGAGAATAAAAGTTGAGCTAACAAACTTTACGACAATGAATATCAAGTTGCATGTAAACCAAAGTTCAAGTGCATGCAGAAAATTCAAAAACCATTTTTAATAAGAAAATTTTCATACACATCTTTTGAATTTTTAAATGCAGACCCATTGTGCTCTCTACCTTTTAGCACCTCTTGAACATGGATAAAGTAGGTCATAAACCAAGAAATAAATTTTTAATGACAATGAGATGTTCATGAAACTCTCAATTGCTACTTTCCAATTCCTCCGCTTCTGTTGTTCCTGACCTCACCCCACAATTTGTACACTTATAGATAATGCCTTTAGGAATGACATCAAATAAGATTGTCTTCAAGAAATTGCAAATGAGATTGGGCAATCGCCATCATCAATGTTTGATGTAAGATAGCTGACAGTTTAAATTTATAAATACAATATAACATGAGATGAACAATAAAATGACAGAAAATCAGAATCCAGAGATTGCCAACCACTGGCTTCAGCAAGGAAAATCAGTCACTTCGAATGTAAAATAACAAACGCATTACTTTAATCCTAAACAAAAATTCAATAGTCACCAAAATCTAAAATTTAACAAGAAAAACACTAAACGAACATAAAAAACCATCAACAAATCTTGTTCACACTATGCCATAGAATTAATTACGCGCTATGCAGGTAATAACACTACCATGGCACAACATTGGAGGCATCACCAATTGCCCACAGAATTTGTTCTACGTTTGGACCGTTAGGCCTTGAATCATTTAAATTATTAAAATAAACTAGGACATAGGTATACAGATTGTGTCAAAATTTTAAAAGAAGTTACCTTTATGTTGAAATATTGTACTGGAACTGAAAAAAAAGTTGGTGATGCCTTAAGTAGAGCGGCTAAATTTTACACATCATGAAAATGGATTCTATGACGAACCGCAATAGAATTTCATGTTATAATTATAGTATTTTTACTTTACATTGACAAAACAATTCTTATGCCAAATGCATCACATGAAAACTCAAAACCTTTATAAAAATTATATAATCTTAATGCAAGTAGTAAGTCACTTTTTGGCAACAGATTTAGTGCATTGGATTCTCCTTTTCTAAGATAACCAGTAATGATATAATAGGTCATTTAAACAATTAGTAGTAAAAGGTAACCGAAGTGTGAAAAATCCAAATATATAAATATTTGCTAAGTGTTAGCCTGTCTCTTATGACTTTAACCTCATCAACATCAACATATAGACCATCCATAAATAAAAAAACCCAACAATATAAGAAATGGGGTAAATAAATAGATTTTTTTTTTAATTTAGAAAAATTTTTATATTGAAATTTTCAAAATACTTTCCTAAAGTGTCTTCATAGTATACAATAAAAAACTTTCAATAAAATGTCACAATAAACTGTCCATAATTCTCATAAAAGTCCTCCAGAAATTAATTAAACTGAAAGGAATTAGTAACCAATCATGCAAATGATCTTTTTTCATACAAGAAATCTTCATTTGTCTCTTTCTCCCATCCTTCACTCATTAGATCAATCCTTGAAGATATCATAACCTCAATCATCATATCTAGCATTTCAGCTAATATTCGTATGAGAATGATTTTATCAATTACTCTTCTATCCACAAACATTCTCCAACTCCTGCCCTTCTTAGGTGAGAGTAAAGTAGACATTGCGTAAGGACTTATCTTTTAGTATGTGTGTCATTTCTTAGTAGTTCATTTAACTCTCTTTTTATTTCAATATGTTCAAGAGAATTCATTTAATAGGTTCGTTAAACACAAGTAATATAGGAATCAAATCAGTGGCATGGTGAATATCATTAAATAGCAGTAATTCATCAAAAAGTTCATCAGGTTAGAATTCCTTACATTCAAAAAGAAATTGAGAAATTGATAGCAATCGGCATAGAATTCCAAGCAAAAATTAGGGCCAAGCAATTATTTTTCTTCAATAATCAAATAACTCCACACAAATGCATAAAAGATAAGCACACACAATTCAAGAGGTAGGTAATCTCTCCCAAATCCTAAAAATAGAGAGGTATAAAATCTATCACAAACCCTAAACCTAAGACTCCAGACTCAATCTCATGCATAATCCAAACACTAAGCATACTAGCCCTATTAATACTAAACAATAATAAATAATAGAATACTAAATTGCACTTAGGCTAATACAATACTAAATTAACCTTAGGGTAGGCACCGACAAAACAATACTCCTCTCCCAAAAAGACACATTTTCCTCAGGACAGGAAAAACTGGATCAAGTCCTATGGTTCATACGATCCAGCGTCATCTAGCAATCCTTTCCATTTAATCAAAAATTCATAACGACCCTCGGGAATTTAAAAAGTTGTCTTGTGCACATCCTTCAACTGCTTTTGAATAAGATAATGTTTTGACTTCCAGTTAATCTTAGACAATATCGCAGCCACAAATAGCTCATCTTGTAGTTATAGATGACCAGAATCTCTGTCAACTCCGTATAATATATCTCTTCCATCTTTTTCAACATAACTTCGATCCTACTTGCTTCTATTTGTTCAAGTCATCCGAATGTCGCACTTTTTCTTCTAAATGATGCCGCTCAAGTCCTCTCCTGATTTCTTCGATACTGCAACTTATCAACCATCTAAAGCAGTGAGCTGCCTTAATGTCGCATGAATCCTTCTAGTTGCTACTGCTGCCGTCAGTTTCCTACGCCATCGCTTGATCCCACAGCAGTCGGAGGTGGTTTTCTGTGAAACTCCAAGATCTTGTTCATCATCTCTTTAATGGTCGTGAATCTCTTCTCGAACTGCACCTCTATGGAAAAGACATGTTTGTGTGTTTAATATTTAATGTGGCTCGACTCTTTCGCTATTTTCTCCTCCAAAGCATCTATTTTTTTTATCGTCATTATTCGCTTATCTAAGAATTCCATTGCATCGAAATCTTATCGTCAACTTCACCGGTAGCCCGATTCACGACTGTACCATGAGGTATTTAAGTCGAAATCCCTTCCTTACTTTCAAAATGCACAGTTCAGTCACTCATATCGTAGCTAGGGCAAATCAAACCGTCGAGCTTCTCAGATCGCTTCTTGACTCAATTAGGTCTAGCACAAGCTGTGACCCGGACTTTGCGTCCACCCGATAAGATCTAATGGAGATTGTGTTACTTGGACGAAGCGAGAGGATGTGAGTTTTTGGTCTTTATATGCTAGCTCCAATCGCGATTGTTTTGTGAGGTGAGGTCACAAAAACAGTCACCTATAAGTTGTGATCCCTATCCTTATGCATCCTGCAATATCGTAGTTTCTTCCTATATAAAATAGAGACAGCAGCTTCCTGTCGCTTCCTATCGCAATCCCGTCGCGATTGTTCAGCAGCTACGAGTAGGTCGCCATATGAGCTTCCCGTGGCTAGAATATGCAAACCCGACATTGATTTTCCAAGAATAGAGAGATCTGATATCGTTTGATAGGATTGGCATAGATTTCCACACAAAAATTAGGGTCGAGCAATTATTTTTCTTCAATAATCCAAATAACTCAACACTAATACAAAAAAGATAAGCACCCACAATTCGAGAGGTAAGCGATGTCACCCAAATCCTACAATTTGAAAGGTAGGAAATCTCTCTCAAACCTTAACCTTAAGACTCAAGACCTAATCTCATGTATCATCCTAACCCTAAACATATCAGCCCTAATTATGCTAAACAACAAAAAATAATAAAAGGCTAAATTGTCATTAGGCTCACTAAATTGCCCTTAAGCTAGGCACAAATGTAACAGAAACATTCCCAAAGACACTGATATGCTCTCAACCACATCTTGGTTCAATTTAAAAGTAATAAAAGCACGGCTTACTCCATCTACTCTTATTTTCAAAAGAAATTGGGCTCAAAATAGATTAAGATGGCTTCAGTTTACTAGGTGCATTAGATCCTTCTAAAAAGAAGGAAATTTTAAGCTTGATAGGTTTCAAAATGATCCTCCTGTCATTGGCTTTAAAGACATAAGTATTATTGTTTTTCAAAATGAGTAGCATATAAATTATACAACCAAGGTCATCTTAGAATGAAATGCAAAATCCATTGGTAAGATATCACAACAAATATAATCGATATAAGTGGCAAGTTGAATAAGGACCAAGCATCTCTGCGTTACAAAAAACTCAAGTTCATTTAGCCAAGCTATTTGGTAACGATGTGGATATACAGTTCAAATTTAAAATTCAGGCGGTCAGAAGATAGCTTATCATGATATTTATGCAATTTTAACTCTTAATGTCTACTTTCCAAAATTTTCATGATTTTCAAAGTATGTCAGAAAATCAATTTTCTTATCCAAACAATTTAGACTTTAGGCATAGCAATAATGTATTGCATGCCAGTCAAAGAGTTTGCAAACAAATTGTTATCATAATGAATTATTATTTTGTCAAATTCATGCAAAATCACCCCCTTTATCATCCTTGCTATCTTCATCTTCAAAATAAATGTGCAAATTTTTAGCTAGAAACTCACTTGCATTGTGCCTTATTCGGTGACCAAAAAACAATAATCCTTGGTAGCAATTTTAGAGATTGGTGCAATGTCTACGGATCATATGTTTTACTCCTTATAGAAAGTAATGTTACAAAGTTCAAATATTCACGTATGTTTGATTACCATGGGGAAAGAACAATTCTCAGAACATGAAAAAAGATTTTTTTTGGTGCAAGAAAATTTGTAGTTGATCAAAATTTATATCCAATTAAAAAGCTTCCTTGAGAAAATTAATGTTGTGGTGCCATTAATCTTTTATGTTTAGGTCATATGTTTATTATAACTTTGAAAGCAACAATCTTTACTCCTCCCTAATAATTCAAATTTAATCATAAACTCAATCATAGCTTCTATCCCCTAGTTTAGAGAGTTAAACTCATAAAAAAATCAATCCCAATAAAATAAGGGTGAGTGTTGAATCCTGATTTGTCCGTAAATCACGCCCAAAGAATAGAGTTTGAGAGATAGAAAGAGAGAGAGAGAACAATATTATGTCATAATCAATCGTGTCTTATTCATAAAATGATTCTCTTAATTATAGAAGAGAGGATACATAATGATGATATTATGTTTTTCTCGTTGAGTTCGTTATGGGATATTTATAGTATTTTACATGTGTAAGCCTATCGTCTGCCAACATTTTTACTTGGTCAGTTGTCCTTAGTCGTCTTCAGACCGATAGAATCAGCTTCGTCGGTTGAGATCAGCTCAGTCGGTTGAACTTGGTTGATATGGGTCAACCGATTGGTATGGTCAGGCTATCAATCATTGACACTGATTTGGAGCCTCTAGGCGTCCCTGAAATGTTTGGAGATGTTAGGGACATAGATCTTCCCTTGGATCGGCTCTCCTGTGGTGGTTGGCTGTAATGTTCTTTTGCCTCAAATCTAGCCACTTTAGTTCGGACTTGTGTCATTTGGTTGTCTTTTTGTTTTCTTAGTGGCTCAGTCGGTTTTAGCCTTGCTAGCTTGGCTAGAATAACTTCACTTGACCAGACAAGTAGGCTTTACAATCTGACAGTGGGCACATCTTCACCCTATTCTTACCTTTTGAACCGTTAGATCTTAGAATTAGCAATGACAATTTTTTTACGTAATTTAGTTCTCTAATTCTCCTACTTCTTGAAAACGACGTTGAGATAAAAATAAGAGCATTAAGTGCAAAAATATATTTCATTTATTGTTTAATTAATGACTCAACAATTGAACTCTCTTTATTTTCGCATCTTTGATTCTTATAAAAAAGGTGCGATGGAACGCCTCATTCCTTATTTGCTCTGCGACTCCTCTTGTTTGGATCGATAAGCTTTTCGGTGTTGTGTTGGAGAATGTATCAAACCTCTCGGGTGATATCTCCAACAAAGAACTAATCTGTTTTGCCTTTGAGAAACTGAAAAAACAGGACAGTCCGAAATGTGAAAGGAAGAAGAAAGTCGTCGCTAGAAAGAGAAGAACAGTTGCAATTTCGTTGTCGGATCAAGTGACATCCTTTGATTTGTTCTCAACAATAAGAGGAGGAATGCTCGGCCGACTGGACAGACCATCGATCCAATCATCGGGCATTCTAATACAGTAGAAGACCCGCCAATCGAACATGGCACGCAAGAGGTTGTTGGTGATTTCCTGTTGCATGGTGAGGGTGTTGTGTCGATTAGGGCATCTGAGTTGGATCAACTTTTGGGTATGAGGAGGTTTGGTCTTATTTGTTGAATTTTAGTTCTTTTTAAAAGTTATTTTGCTCTACGCTATTTCTTGATGCAACTCGATTTTGAGAAGCCTGGATGAGGTTACGGCTATGGTTGGCATTGACAAGAATCTAAACGAGTGATAGAAAAACAGGCGCCAGGCAAGAGCAGCCGACTCTTGAGTGAGAATGGTGGAGTTGATCGCCCTAAAGTCTCCCTTGAAGAGCTTGAGGAAGTAGCTAGCCGGCTCAGGACATCCCCTAGGTTGCTTGTCTGTCGTCTGATTGAATTCCTTTGCTCGGTTTGCAAAGATCGACTAGGAACGCGTGGAGAAGATGAAAGGGTTGATGGCCACTCTTTCTCAGACATCCAAGAGAGATCCCTTATGTGTGACCCACTATCGGCCTTTTCTTGTAACTTAAAAAAGAATTTTTCTTCTCTTTTCTTTCCTTTGTTGAACACTAGTAAAAAAAGTTAAAAAATTTTATAAGTTTTCAATCATGAATGAAAATGAGATTTTTCCGTCAGTCAAACCTTTGTATTTTCTTTGGCATCCTATGTTGAATGATCTTATGATGAGCACTCAACAGTGATGATTGATTGATCAATTTTAAGAATATTTTCAGTCGGTTCAAAAAGTTACCATTTGGCTCAAGTCTTATACCTCCTATGTCTTGGTCGTTTGATTAGGTCGTCGCCTTGGATAGATCGTACCTTATGTTAGAAGTATTAAGCAGATTCTGTTGCGATCTTTGCTGGGGTAACCATCCAGAATTGTTGTGGGGTGATTTGTGTGCTAACTACCGAGAATCTTATCGCTAATGGGTAGAATATCTTATTGTTAGAGCTTGACACGATTCAAAGTACGAGGCACGAATTTTTATGATGCATGAGTATTGTGAGTCTGATCTTATACATTTTTTTGATTGAATGTTACTCATCATTATCGAGATTGTCGCTCGGGTGGAACCACCACCCACAAGCTAGTTTAAGTTCCAAGAGTATCAGTCGAACTTGAGAATCCCTTTTACAAACTTTTCAAGTTTCTCGAGTGTCGGTCGGGTTTGGAATTGTGTGCATAATATGAAAAATTTTACATTAATCATTTTTATTAAATTAAAAATGAAATATAATGGTATGAACAATAACATGCTTTCATTACCGAGATACATTTTTTTCTAAGCATAGAATGTATTCAAATTGTTTCAACTCCACGTCCGACGCACCACTTTCCTATGTAGGCTTTTAGCTTATACACTCCGTGGGTGACCTGCTTGTCGACGATGAATGGCCCGGTCTACGTTTGGTCGAGCTTCTCACAACTTGTTCTCGCATGGTTGGATTCACTTTTTTCAGCATGAGGTTTCCGGCAGCAAAATTTTTCACTCAAATATGCTTGTTGTAGTATTGAGTCGTCTGTCTCTTCACTTCTTCCAGCCTGAGGGCTGAGTCGGTTTGTTCCTCATCCACAAGGTCAAGCGCAAGCAACACTCCTTTGTCATTTGTTTCCTGCCAGTCGGCTAAGTCCACTTCATCAAATGTCAAAGTTGTACCACTCCTTCACTATGATGATTATATTTAACAAGTAGCACCAACCCCATCCCATGTGACAACATGAATAGGGTTTGTCAGGTCACCGTGGAAGTTGTTGTTTGGACCGCCCAAAGAATATACGACAAAATCTAGACCTAATTTCTCTTAGATCCTTCAACTTTTTTCCTTGACAGGTTTATGATGATCTTTTTTGGCTGCCTCAACAAGTCCATTCATTCAACAATAATGAACAAATGCAAACTTCAAGTTGATCAACTGGTTTTAACCAAAAAAATTCACCTCTTAGTCGGCAAATTGTGTTTCGTTGTTTGTGATGATTACAAGCAATAAACCGTACTGATAGATAATATTAGTCCAAATGAGGTTTTGAACGATCTTTGCGGTTATGTGACTGAGCCATTTGGCCTCAATCCACTTGAAAAGGTAATCTACAGCAACGAACAAAAATTTTTGTTGGCCTAGTTACTGGGAAAAAGGGCCCGAGAATATCAAGTCCACAAATGGCGAAAGATCACGGGCTAACAATGGATGCAGTTTGTGAGCGGCTCGTGTTGCAGCGGTGTGTGCTTCTAAAACTATTTACACCTCGAGAATTCCTCGGCATCCTTATGAATTGTCGACATGAAATATCCACGTTCACCGCACACTTCAAGATGTTGAATTCAATTTATCTCTGAGTCCCACCCATGAATTAGAGTCTAAAGAAGGGATAGAGAGAGGAGAAATAGTAACGAGCAGTAATAGGTTGCGATCAATCAAGCATTTTTCATAAAATATTTCTCCTATTTATAGAGGAGATGACACATAATGATGATATTACATTTTTGCACATGTTTTAAAGGGGTTTGTACTGAGATATTTCTAGTATTTTACATGTGTAAGGCTGTTCGGCTCTTTTCTAACTTAGTTGGCGGTTCTTGGTCGACTTCAGATTGGCAGGAATAGCTTGGTCGGTTGAGATCAGCTCAATGCTGAGCTTGGTCGATATGAGTCGGTTGATTGGTATGTTTTATTCGTCAATATTTGACCCCTAATTAGAAGCCTCTGGGTATTCCTAGGATAGTTGGAGATGCTAAGGAACCGGATCTTTCCTTGATCGGCTCTCCTGTGGTGGTTGGCTCAAATGCTCTTTTACCTCACATTTGGCCAATTTGGTTCAGACTTGTGTAGTATGGTCATCCTTTTGTTTATCTTGTGGCTCGACCGATTTTGGCGTTACTTTGGCCCAGACAACTTCACTTGGTTAGACAAGTAGGCTTCACGATCTGACAATGGGCCCATCTTCATCATACTCTCTTTCATTATAGACCGTTAGATCTCCTCAGAATTATCGCTGACACATTTTTTATGTACATTAAGAATTTTTCTTTTAATAGTAGTTTCATTTTATTGCAGATGATTGTTATTTCTCACTTTTTTTTTCTTGGACAATAAATTTTAGTTTTACAAATCTGGATTAACAGTCACCCTAGTTTCCAATAATTTAAAGTTAATCATGTGAAAATTAGCATGCCGTTCCTTCCCAGTTTTGTTGCATGAAGTTAGAAATCACGTTTTATAAAACAATGAATGTAGTAAATTATGGCATGTAACTAGAAGTAGTTAGAAATCATTGTCAATTTTAACCTCCACAAACACAATCACGCCTTAAATATGATGATTTCAAGCTCACATTCAAATCAAATCATTATTTTCTATTTATAGCGAATCAAAGGTACCCTTACTTTAAAATCCAACCAAATTAATTCTTTTTTCCTTCTCAAATAAAAAATCCAAATTAGCCCCTTTTTCATGATAACAAGAAGTCAAAACTCTAACACCAAATTGTAAGCCACCGTAATAGAAAGCTGTACAAGGTTGAAAATAAAAACCCTAACCCTCGTCGCTGACAGCAGACTCGGCTTCCCCCACCAGAAGCTCACGCTCCGCTGACACCTTGACCTTCATTAGCAACTGCGCTCTTCGATTCATCCCTTCTCCGGCAATACAGCAATGCTTGATGGTTGGAACAGAGGCTTTGAATCTAGATACAGGAACTCTCTGGCAAGTCTGCAGCAGAAAAGAGGGAAAAGGTGAAGGAGAGAATACAGTTTAGAAACCATCTCTGTGATTGAATTGGTCTTGATGAGAAAGAACAGAGCAAGGGGAAGAGAAAGATGGTCATATACCGGATTGGGAGATAACGGGAAGGCGATGCATCGAATCGCCATCATCTGGCTTCGCAGAGAGCCTCTCCTTCGCCTTCAACGCGAAGAGATTGGACTCACTTTTGACTGTGGTAATACTAGCATCAGTAAGGGCCTTTTCTGGAATTTGAGACATTGGCACTATGGAACAGAGTGAATTGTTTGAAATAAGCTCTTGATGTTGTTTGTGATGTTACTTTCGCGTTTTTTTTTTAACAAATGAGTCGAACACAAGCTGAACATGAACTTTTTGGGAACGACATGTCAATTTGACATCCCTAATATTAATATATATAAATAATATATTATATTAATTATATAACTTATGTTATATAAATATATAATATCTATAATAGTATATTACTAATATAGTATATTAATATATTATTATTTTTAATTTATTATATATTATAATTTATAAAATTTAATTTTTTAAAATATCATAAATTTTTTATATATAATTATTTTATTTTATTCTATATTTCGAACAATAACGATTCGAACACGAATGAATACATCAATATTTGTATTTTGTTCGTTTAACCAACAGAACGAAAAAATTATTCACATTCATCTTGTTTACTTATCGAGCTAATCGAACACGAACTCATTGACGATCCGAACAGAAACTGTTCGCGAACAACGAACTTTTTTGACAACACTAATTTTAACCGAGTAATAATTGGAAGATTTACAGACATACCAGTAATTTTTACCTATTTACAATTTCTTATGAGATTTGGGATATTTTAACCACAATATATACAATATGTTAAACCCAATCTCTAGATTAATAGACTTAACTTTCAAGCAAGATGTAATTAGCATTGTATTTACGTATCTAACTCCTAAACTTCAATTCCTATGAGTGTCCTATAATTTTTTTATGTACGTTTAAAACCATTGGCAGACCCACATAGACCCGAGTATATTTATAATTTGACCATTTTGGCTACAATTTAAATTTACATTAAATGGAACGTATCAAATCTAGTATACCATCAAAGAGCTCACGGGGGACTACGGACTAAATGTGTTTCACAATTAAATTCAGTGATTTGCTTAATTGAATTTAGTAAATCCATTTTTAATTCATAATAAAGTCTCAAACGGAACACAAAAAAATTCAATTTAATTTATATATATATATA